GCTCATCACTGTGGGTGAGATGGCAGCGATACACTGTAGTTGACTTATCTCAATCAGTGATGAGACAAGCTGAAAAAGTGCTGTAGCCTATGAAGAGAACGATGTTCAGAAACACTAGTCCCAGTTTTCTGTTTACCTGCCATTCTCACATGCTGTCCTTTTCTTCCATGTTGGTTTTCTCCCTCCTCAGGAGCCAAGAACCTGTACATCATCTCTGTCAAGGGCATCAAGGGACGTCTGAACCGTCTGCCTGCAGCTGGAGTGGGTGACATGGTCATGGCCACAGTCAAGAAAGGCAAGCCAGAGCTCAGGAAGAAGGGTGAGTCTGTCTGCAAGTTACTGTAGTGTTGCGGTAAAGAGGTTGAGGCTAGTGTATGAATTGTCAAATGAACCATTATGGTGTTTGTTTGTGCTCCGGTGTGTATTTGCATTGAAACTGTTTGAAAAACATAAAAATGAAAACATAGGATGTCTTCATCTGTTAACTCCATATGAGCTGAGTTTGAAGGAGATGGGAACGACAGTCCATCTCATTTACAGATTTATGGGCAGAACACTGAATAACTCAGAGGCTTGAATGAACTTGGATTAACCCCGCCCCTCTCTCCACAGTGCATCCTGCGGTGGTGATACGGCAGCGGAAGTCGTATCGGCGAAAAGATGGCGTGTTTCTTTACTTTGAAGACAATGCGGGTGTCATAGTAAACAACAAAGGAGAAATGAAAGGTTGGTTTGTTTGGATGCTCCGCTAGCTTCTTTCAGTCATAGTCACTGTACAAATAGCACTACCTTAGCTCATGTATTGGTGCTGACCTCAAGCACAGAATTGATAGCAGTGAGGTAGATATTTCTCTAGAGGCATTTTAGATGTTGGTCTCAGTAATTCAGTCACTTTCAGGAATTATTAGCTGTATGTACATGAACTGGCTGAACAGCATGGCTCCTTCAGTCCCTTGGGGTGTGAAGTGGTTTAGTTTCACTGATTCTCATTGCCTCAATAACAAAGTTGTTGCTGAACTCTCTCACTCTCACCAGTGCTGTTCTGGTTTGTAGGTGTGTGTTGAGTAGGCTACGTTTTGTTAAGCCTCCGTGCTGGCGACAGTCAGT